GAGAACTGTACCTCGGCCTCCTTTTTAATTCATCCCATTACAAGAGGAGAGCAATCCTCAGAGCAGCCCCTGAAATTGCACTTTGAAGGCTATAAGAAACAACACGCTCTGTTTAACCACTGCGGGGTAAGGACATGAAACGTGGCGCTTGCACTGCAGATGCAAAAACAGGAGTGTGTGTAGCCGTCTTGCAATTATATATTCTCACACACTGCTTCTGTTGTGCCAAGGTTTCCGTTTGCAAAGCGAAAACGACTTTTTGTGTCGACTTGTTAATTGCCTGCCAATTGCTCCCTGAAGTGTCAATCCATCTGGGGCGAGGAGTGCCTCAATTACTGCTCTAATAGCTCCTCTTGATTTGAACGACAATGCGAGTGATAAATGTATCATTCTGCGTGCTGTAGATGCGGTGGTGGTGGTGGTTAACTCCCCTCACAAACTCCTGCCAAAACACTCGTTCAGTGGAGGTACGATCTAGATCCTTGCTACTCACCTTGGTGTTGTTCATTGTCTGCAGTGGTGCATTTATACTGCAGTGGTTCTAACGAGGTGTCAGAGAGCCTGTGCTGCCTCCTTGTGGATGGATTTTGTGCCCTGTGTGCATTGCCTAAAGCCATTTACCTGCGGCGGCCATTAAGAACATGTTATTTCTAGCTCGGTGGGTGGTGCTGGCATTTATGATTTCTCTTTTGTCTTCAGCTAAAACAGATCGGTCGTTTAAGGAGTTCCTCGATGCAAGGAATCCAACCAAGCAGCACTCAACCACACTAGAGTCCTACCTAATCAAACCGGTGCAAAGAGTACTGAAATACCCCCTGCTGCTCCGCGAGCTGGTGTCTCTAACGGACACGGACAGTGAGGAACACTACCACCTCACAGGTAGAGGGCTTGCTTTCGCTCACTGTCTAGATGTCTGGTTGTGGGTCGGTTATTGAGAATTAAAGGGGTCATATGATGTTGCTAAAAATAACATTATTTTGTGTATTTGGTGTAATGAAATGTCTTTATGCAGTTTGAAGTTCAAAAAACACATTATTTTCCACATACTGTACATTATTGTTTCTCCTATATGCCCCGCCTTTCTGAAACGCGTCGATTTTCTTCCAAAAGGGGACACGACTAGAAATCAAAGTAGTTTTGCTTTCACAACGAAACACACGGCGGGCTAGAGTAAGCGGAGGCCGGCGGCTAGAGTGAGCGGCAGTGGGCGGGCTTGAGAACGGTGCGGATTTGACGAAGGAGCGGCCGGCGGGCTTGCGGCAACCACATGTGACGACACGCGGCTGGACTCCGCTTCGTCCACGGTGAAAGCCGATCCGGCAATCCACAGCGCACAGTTGATGTATTTCCTCAGCAACCAGCACAGAAAGGAAAAATTGAAATCGCATCATATGACCCCTTTAAATAAAAGTTTACACAAGATATTTTCACAAAATCCCCAAGCTGTCCGTTTACGTATATATGAAAGCATGTTGTGACCAGAGCCCAGAGCTTTCAAAATAACATTTATTGTGTTGTGCAGAAAGTTTTCAATTACATGAGGATAAGCAAATGATTGAAAATGTAATTTTTATGTGAGCTAAACAGATGGAAGACAATTAATTATTCCCAGTAATGTTACTAAGGTCTGATAAGTTTTTTTTTTTTTTTTTTTACTCCAGTTTGAGTTCACACAGTAATTTTGACAGCTGTTTTTAGAAATCAAAGCCCAGAATAAATTATTTTAAGACCTTTTTTTTCTTATTACAGAGGCACTGAAAGAAATGGAAAAAGTCGCAAGCCACATAAATGAAATGCAGAAGATCTATGAAGACTATGGTGCAGTATTTGACCAGCTGGTAGCAGATCAAAGTGGCACTGAGAAAGAGGTACAGCTGCACATACAGTCTGAACACATCTGGGTAATCCCTTGATTTAACAGGATACAGGATATTCAATCATCATCTGTCTCTCTCTTCCTTTTTTGTCTCAGGTCACAGAGATTTCTATGGGACAGTTCCTCGTACATTCCTCAGTGATCTGGCTCAACCCGTTCCCATCGCTGGGCCGTATGAAAAAGGATCCTAAGTTGAATGTTTTTGGTGAGGCTCTGGTCTTTTCCCATGAAACCATATTTTTATATAAAGCATATTTCCCATGAAACCTTATTCTTATCTTTCCATGTGCCAAAATAAATGTTTTATCTTAATATTTTAAATAAATAATGCAAATATTAAGATTTATTTTGTCACGCGACACTCAGATCTATAAAAAGCTCTGTGTGAAGTTCAAGCTAAGTATGTTAGGCTTGCTTCAGATATATTGGCAGCAGTTCTGCAGCCTCAAAAACAAAGAATTCTGTCGTTTTCTAAAATTAACATTTCTGCTTGACTCATACAATCTCTGATTTGATTTATTAGTTTTTAAGAGAGCTGTGATACTGCTGTACAGGGAGAATAACAAAGTGAGAAAGAAGATGGTAAGTCTTGTTTTCACATACTTAGCAGTTCCTTAATGGGGTCACTTTATTTTATCATTACATTTTTTTTCCTGCATTACATTGTGACAAGTTTAGAAAACAATCCTAAATATGAATTCGGGCAGTCATGTTCAACCATTAACATAAACATCCAAATTTTGGAACAAAATGTTTTAACAGATTACTTTTCATTAATGGTGTTTTGAAATCACATTTACATAATACAGTTTTAATATTTTAAAAATAGATATAAATAGTCTAAAATAAGTCTTATGTCATGCTTTTGTTTGCCAGCCAACTTCAAAATCAGCCCACGGAGAGCAGGATCCATTCAAGTTTCGCTGGCTCATTCCCCTGTCAGCACTACAGGTTAGACTGGGCAATACAGCAGGTAAGAGACACATCTGGCTTGTATAGATGATCATAGATTTGTACATGTACAAATAATCAGCCTTTTGCGTTTTCATGCTGTCTGAAGACACAAACTGCATCTGGGAGCTGATCCACACCAAATCACAGAAAGAGGGCAGGCCTGAGACGGTGTTCCAGTTGTGTAGCAGGTTGGAATTGCCTACTTGGACATTTCAAAACTTAGTGTCCCATTTATTCCATACGGAGCTTAACATTTAGCATTTTCTCATTTGCAGCACCCCAGAATGCAAAGTGAATATCATCAAGGTGATTCGCTCCATCCTGCGGGAGAACTTGCGTCGAAACATGCAAAGAGTTGAGCAACAGCCTGAGAGAACCTGTAAAAAGCGGCTAACTCCCCTTCGAAAAACTCTGCCAACTTCTGCTAAGCTAGGTCAGCGTGACCTCCCCTTTACTTACATGTCTGGGCTACAATGGAAGTTGCCAAAATTGTGACGCATGGAAGTGTTGATGCATTTTCCAAGGGAAATTTACTGGTAAAAAAAAAAAAACCTGCAAGCTGTCTTCGAATGTCAGAGAACCTTTTTAAATATATAACAAAGGTCATAGCAACCAATTCCCTCTAAAGTGCCAGAACAAAGAGATTTGAGTAGCTGTGCAGCAAGTTAAGAATAGAAATAGGGTGTCTGTCAAGTGTCGCAATGCGTTTCAGCAGAGATACTGCACATCAACAATATATCTTAAACAAGATCTCAACATTCATGACTGCATTCATTTGTGCCCCATAGGTTCTTCTCGACTCTTTTTGCTCTCCAAGCAGCCTTCAGATGACAGTTCCAACCCCAACAATGATCTTCTGGGGCTGTCTCTACCAGATTCAGATTCAGCCAGTGTAAGCAGTGGAACCACCAGCAGTGCCAGCGCTCCCCTGGATCAGCCGTCACGTCACGCCCAGAGCGGCCTCAGAGAATCCAACATCATCAGTGACCAGGACAATGAGACCAATGACCAGGAGTGGCGAGACTGTCCCAGTGCTATCGAGGCCCAGTTCTGCAGGCTTCGGCTGACCGAGGAGGCCTCCCAGGCGCCTGCTCCCCATGTGCTTCCAGAGAGTGGAGAAGTGGACACTCCAGAAAGGCAGTGTTCTATAAAGCGAGCTCACTTCAGCGCGGTAAAACGCAAGCCTGGCAGAGGCACGAGTAGCTTCAGACGCAGCCAGGCAGCCCTACTGAACATGCGTCGACATAGCCACTCTTTGGACAGCCAGACTGAGACAATGGCAAATAGCGTGGACCTTAACTCACTACTGGAGAAGGAGTTCAGCGTGCAGAGCCTGACCTCTGTTGTCAATGAGGACTTCTTCTACGACAACACCGCGGAGGCAAAAAACGTGACCACTTCATAGTGGTGTTGAGCCACATTATCCCACGCAGCCTTTCTAAAGTTATTAGCCAATTCAGGGAAGCAACTGAGGCCAGACAATTCATTTGGACCTTTTGTGGAACCACAGTTTGACAGACCTTCCTTCAAAATGGTGTTGTGTTTCATAATTCTCCATGATCCACAGCACTGGCCACATTGCAACTGTTTTGCACCAGAGAACCAAATTACATGCCTTCACTCTTTTTACATGGCATCCTGATGCAAAACTAAGACCAGTGTGCTCTCCCACACACATACTAGGAGCTATCCAGCTACAAGAACTGAATTCTGTCAGGTTTTTTAATTTTGCCTTGTGTTTTGGACACTACATATGCTTCTTGTTTTAAATCTAAGCATTGCTTCTATTTTTGTCATGGGTTTGCTTTGTATAAACTATTTTATTTATTAGTAAGTTTCTTTTTATATTTCTTTTTCACAGGAATCCAGAATGTCGGGTTAAGACTTTGGCAGGAGATCTTCAATGGACAAAACTACTCATACTTTTGTTACAAAAACATGGTCAGTTGTAAACAATCAATCAAGACTTTAAATGTGCTATGCTGGAAATGTAACTCTGAATAAAGCCTGCAGTTGTCCTTTTTTCAGAATGTTTAAATGTGTAAATAGTATTTTTTTCATGGATTATTGTAACTTAATTTTAAGAGTTTATATACTGTTGACACTTCACAGCCAAAAACTGTAATAAAAAGGTGTCTGATTAAATTGCTGGATTGTTTTTGTCTTGATTTCCTGTTTTCTGCAAAAAAGCAGCAACATTTTTTTTGTTGTTTGATAAAAACAAAGGAATAAAATGCACACAAAGTGACAGACAACTGAATCACACTTTCAGCATTTGATTTGAACAATATGAAGACAAGAGTCAATGCAAATCTTATTAACACACATTAAAAAAGTATAGGAAAAAATAATTTATTCATCAGTCAAATTATTTTTAGGTAACAATGGCAAATGTTTTTTTCTCTGACAGATGATTGTCAGCCTCTAGCTGTAAAATGATTAAAGCATTCCCATAGCTGCTTTATGATATGACAGGTTTTCTGGGCAACCCTCTCTCTTCCTCAATTCAATACAGAGAGGGTGACTAGGAACTGGAATTGATTAATGTAATTTTCCTTCCTACCTACAAAACAGCTTTGTGATAATTCACAGTGTTCTTAAACTATATCGCCCATAACTTAAATTTAATCCCCTTGCATTTTCTAAAATCCTTTTTTAGCTGAAATTTTTCAGCTGATGCTTCATTTACCTCACTGCTGGCTAGTCTTTTACATTCCGCAAGCAAAAAAAAAAAAAGCCAAACATATTCATGCCATGATGAAACTCACCATTACGAGTCTGCTGCGTTAGTGGTTGTCGTTAACATTTTCCTCTACTGTGGTGTGAAGGTTAAGTCCTTTACGGTTGTTTCCCAACTGTCTCTTTGCCTGATGCTTGAGTTTCAGTTCCTCTCTGAAGTCATAGTCGATGAGGCCTTGGTTCTCCTCACAAAGCTTACTGTAGGCGTCTGCTAAAGCCCTGAATTCAGAAATAGAGATCTCTGTGGGCCGCAGTGTGGGATCCACATCAGCACTGCGCAGCAACTCTTCCGTCAGTTCTTGACGCTGAGACTCTGGGAACAGCATCCTGCAGCAAAGAAGAAAAAAAAAAAACAGTCATCACATGCTGACACAATGAGTTAACGTACAAAACTTGAGAAGTGGCATGGAAGTGACGTTATATGGTCTGTGCGGATGTTCGCTTAGCGCTTGTCAAATTAGAAAAGCAGCGACACAGTTTGTTGCTGGTGAAATTACAGATGTTTTCCCTCACATTCCTCACTTCAGTGACACTAATTGTCGAGCTCCTTTCCCAACTTCCAGCTCCTGAAGAGCCAACTTCCTGCAGCATTGAGCTCCAACCTGCCCCAACACACCTGCCTGGAAGTTTCTAGTAATCCTGAACGCCTTGATTCGCTTCAGATTCAGCTGTGTTTAATTAGGATTGGAGCTGATCTTTGAAGGACAGTAGCCTTTCAGGAGCGGGACTGGAATAATTTCAATGTATGTATTTAATGTTTTGCTGGATGAACACTCAACACCAAGGTACACAACAGTACAAGCAATTGTGCGTACTGTACTTCGTATCTCTGTATCCACCCTGACTAAAATCCATGAGAATAGAGGTAAAGAGAGAGGAGTTTGGGAAAAGTCGTTTACAGAATGCCAGGGAAATGCTTACTCAAGTCCTCTGCGGCAGTGCTTCCTCCGGAACTGGAAGGCGTTCTTGACAATCCTCTCGACCAGCTTAAAGGGCTGCTGGATCTGGGGCTGAGCCAGCGGAGTGAAGTGCACCACCCCCACATCCACCTACGCAGGGTGACGAGATGAAAACACACACAGACACACACACAAACACACACAACAGTGTTACAGTCAGACCTGGAGACCATTTTCACAAGCTACTCCCACTCGAGTGAGGGGGAGAAACAGAATGGAAACTAGCGGCAAGAGGGATATACGAGTGAAGAAAAGCAGAGGGTTGGGAGAGGAGGCTGTGGGTGATGCTGCACGATGACAAGCCAGTTCCGGTTGCTACAGTAACACCTGTTTGAAGGACCATCAAAACAAGCCTCTTCAAATGTGAATAGTAAGTCTCTTGTTACACTGTTGCTTCCTAAATGTTCTTATATCCACAGTCTAGTGATGATGTAGGGGATGCTTCAGCTTCCATCTCCCCTGGTTCTCTGATCAGCACTAAAAGGACAGTGCTTCTTTTCATTATGCAAAATCGACACAGACATCTGCTGTGCCCAGGCTAAAACCTGTTTCTCTTGTGTAATTGTAGCAGGAGGCATAATTTTGGTAGCTCCAAAACCACTTACCGACCTGTAGCAGAACAAATTGTTTATCTGTATTAATCCAGAGTGTGGATTCTGAATTTAATCGATTAAGTGAAGCTCAACGCTAAACACCTAGGGGATATAGTAGTAATAATTTGCCTTAAATTATAAAAATGTGCTGGAATGCCCCCAGAATGGAGACATGTGATTAAGATAACGGAGATACGGATGAAAATGTAATTAGTTAGGTGATAAAGACAAAAAGCACATTTATTTGTCCTGCATTTCAGCAGCATGCCGTACTGTGATTTAATATACTGTAAACCCATCTGGTTGTGTTGCAGTCATGCAGGACTCTTGGCTTCCTACTTTGGCTAGATTCTTCCACTTGGGCTCATTTTAAATAAATTACGAGCAGGATACAAGGCTTTGAAGAGCCCTTCTGGTGTTTAGGGTTACAAAACAGCAATACACTGGAGATGACAGAGAAGGAAAGATGTGACGAGAGCTTTCAAAAAGCATTGACTCATCTGCCTCGGCTATGCAGAAGGAGATCCAACATTCAAGAAATCAATTTGGCCACCTGTCATTTACCCAGCTTGGGATGCTGGTTTTAGAATGACACACTTCATCCCTTCCCTCCGCGAAGGCGTCTGAAATTTTGACCAGGTAGATTCAAGTCCCTAAGAAGTCACAAAGAAACACTGAGCAATATGAAATATTTACAGCTCAGGATTTAGAAGCAACCGCATAGAGTTATGTATGTATATACACAAACTAGATTTCCTGTAATATACCCCCCTCCCCTTTCCTCAAGTTTAATCCTGGTAATAATGCAGAACACAAATGGCCTATACACACAGATATGGGTCAATTTCAGCAAAAACTGTCATTAATAACAGTTGTAACGGTTACTTGTAGGCCTAATGTGTGCAACTGTTACAAGTACAAGTAAAACTCAACAGCACCACTACACTATATATTTACTAGGGCTGGGTAAAAAATATGGATATCTCAATATTAATCGATTCTTAAATCCCAAGAATCAGTTAATGAACGGAACACTGATTGAAGGGCACTTCCCAACCAATTAATAGCAATAAGCATTGTGCTTTGGTACTTTTAATATGAAACAAAGTGTCAGATTTCAAATTCTGTCCATTGTATTGCAGTATTTAAACAATAAATGCCGTTTATTGGCACTGTTTAATGTGGAGTGACAGATCGCTGTAGCGTCTCAGTTCAACAGACGCGGCAGCGTGAGGCGCACGTGAGCTGATCATCTCCTCCACATTAATACCAGTTTCAGCACAAAATAAACATGACTAAACATCCGAAGGTAAGTTAAAAGAAAGAGTACAACTTTACAGTCCGTATCCTGTCTCATGTAATCGCTCAAATCAGTGTTTCAGCGGCGCAAACACGTCAAAATATAACGGCTTGTAAACAATGTCACGTAACGTCACATTTACCTCAGAAAAAACAACGTTATTAGGTGAAAAATAAACTGTAGAGAGGGGCATTTAGCTAAATACTGTATATGCACCATATAGCCTAACATATTTATTATAAAATTTACTGTTCTTCAGTGTTTAATTTGTTTGAATAAATCCATCAAGTTTTTATGACAGCCACCATTTAAATGTTTATATTTCAAAAAAACGAATTGAAGTAGAAATATTATTATGTAATTGTAACTTTATTATTTAAAAAACTTAAAAACAGTTGTATAGCCTACCTACAAATCAGTCAATTTTAACCTTCAATTTTATTTTATACTAATGTAGTACCAACTGACTATCATGTATATTTTAAAGCATTAGTTGAGAGATTTTTTTTTCCTTGAGAAAATTTGACATGTACTGTACTTGATATATATCCAAAATAATCGATATTGAATCGAATCGGTAATCGAAATGAATCGCAAGCATGTGATTGAGAATCAAATCGAATCGTGAAATTTGTGTCAAAACCCAGCCCTAATATTTACCCCCTACTGTACTGTATAGGTTCCCTTTCTCATTTGCACCTAAGTGCAAGTGCCCCCTAATACAAAGGGTGTGAATTTTAATTTGTCATTTAAATGGAGAATGATCAAATTGAGGTGGCAGTCCCTCAGGGCTATCTGAGTAACCATTATTTCCTTCACATAACTGACAGTGAAACAATGGAGTATGCGGCTGGAAATGCATACAGTAAAGGAGAAAATAGTCCCGCAATGAGTAGGTATACATTAATCATGACAGCACTTTCAAAAGACAACCACTCTTACTTCAGCTCAGATAAGGAAGCGGAAAGAGAGAATGTAACCAGCGCAGGCTGACAGGGCTTTTGTCAGTGAGGCTTGTTTTTACTGTGGGAATGGCTCGTCCTACGCTTTATGAACAGCCCAAGGCATTGATGGGAACCAAAGGAACTACTGATGTGCTTTGAGAATCAGATATGAATTGATTCTCATGGAGATTCTCTCCAGACTATATGAGACTATACAGGCTTCTAAGGTGTCTAACTGAAGACACAAGGCGAGATGGACATAAAGGGTAAGCAAGTTAAGAGGGCTAAATGAACAGTGGCCCTATGTTTACGCACTTTACGAATGCAAGATCAATGAAAAGCATTCCTATTTTATTGAACAGTAAAGTCACAAGAAAAAGCACAGAGGCAATAAATCAAGGTCGTGTGGAAACCCATACACTTCCCTCTTGCACAGCAGAGAGTAATTTCCATTTATTATCATGAATTTAAACAGCCATTTCTGTAGCAGTTGCAGTAAGACCATTTTGACATCTGCATTACAGGCAGACAGCTACAGCAGGGTAATGAAATGTCTCCATCAGCAGCTGTGAATAACAAATGGATCTCATCCTAAACAATAAAAAAGCCCACCCCCACCCCGTCTCTCAAGAAATTACAATTTCGATGTCCATCTCAAGCCTTTGCACATGATAGCTAGAGGTGATCAAATCAAGGCACCATGCATATAATTGCTTTCTGTGCCTTCACACGTCAGTTCCCGACACACACATTCCCTGGGTACATGTTAGCGGCACCCCTTACACATTGTTTACACATTTTAGTTAGTTATTTTCCAGCAGCAGCACTTAAATGCACAAGGTGAGGACACACAAACCAGCAACAACATTTTTAAACCCCACTAGGGCCTAAATGCATTCAAATGAAGATCGTCACCACTAAATATAAGAGTATAAGGCTACACCTTCAGCTTGACCTGTGTAAAAGTACTGATTTTGACTTACAGCTCCAATATTGATAATTTTTAGTTTTTACAGACAGATAGATAGATTCAGTTTTGTCCTTCTTTGCCCTCTTTGTCATTTCTAAACCAATGCCATATAGCCACTCCCACCCTGCAGCGAGGAGAGGACGGATGGAGGACGGCAGGGGTGGGGGGTGTAGGGGTTTATAGGGGCAGCAGCTGTGAGTTCATCCTCCTGCAGAGTGAATGTTCCTGCTCAGTGGCTAGTCATATTATGATTAGGGTGATTGTGGTGCATTGCCACTTTAGTGAAACTCCTTTAATAGCAGGTGAAAGGGCCATGCCTTTTGTCCACTACCCACACAGCATGTGCTTTGAGAAAAAAAAACATGCATGCATATAAATATTACATTATATATATGCATGAAACAAGTGTCAGTGTCTACTGCCTGTAGAACAAAATGACAAGAAGCAAAAATATTGCTTCTCTAATAAATTTATTTCCATTTCATGATGTTTCAAATCATTTTAGGGATATTTCGTTATTTTTTCTTTTTAACTGGAAAACAAAGATGCTCAATAAGGATTTACTTCCCCGTTAAATTGATATATTTAAAATCCAAAACATTTAATCTATGCAGCTTAAATCAGCTAATAAACGGCATTAAAATAGACCATCATTCGTGCATCTTTGAAAACAGCATCGTCGCTCCATCACTGATGTCCTGTAATATACCGCTGCTGCTGAAGACACGGATGACACGAACGGATCGCCAACGACACAACTACGGGCGTCTATACTCTGTTTATGTATTTAGCAGTGTGTGTACTTGTGTGCTCGGAAACCTGACGCGTCATAGCTCGCTCTGCACCAGCTGAGGTAAGGACAGGATTTCTGCATTCCGCTCCGTATTAGAAATAAACCGTTCAGCCTCCACTATGAGTCATAACCTAAAAGATTTCTGTTATTGCCTTGGTAAAAACAAAGGAAAATGAAAACGTGCTGACAAGTTGTGTGCTTGTGTGTCTGAAACGATACTTTATTTCCTTTACCTGACCCTATGGAAAACAGAATCAGACTCCAGTTATCAGGCATGGCAACAACGCGTGCATGTTCGATCACTCCACTAATAACTCAGTTCTCCAGTAGAGATGTGGGTATGAGGCACGAACCTGCTTCCTCATCATCCTGTGTGCACACTTCTCTTTGTTCCCAGTGTGCTGGGGGAGGAGGAGGACACTCGTTTAATTCTCTCCCTTATTTCCTCAGGCAGGCGGCGGTGCTGAGGAGTCTCTGCCGTCGCAGTTGC